CTAGGGTCAATTTCGAACCTAGCACCTATGGGTTCCTACTGGGTTGGAACCAAGTAAGTGTTGGGTTTGATTTCAAACCTAGCAGCCATTGGGTTCCATTACAAACCCAACAACCGTTGGTTCCTGCTAGGTCCCTACTAGGTTGATGGAACCCAACAGGCACTAGGTTCAAAGGGCTCGATTTTGAACCCAACAGTCATTTGTTCTAATTTCGAACCAAGCAACCATTGGGTTGATGGATCTATTGATCTATTAGGCGTTCGATTAGTAAGCGCTAGATTTGAAAGATGTTTTAGTTGTGTTTTCTTTTCTTTTTTTTGTTGTAGAAATTTGGGAGAAGATGCCTTGATTTTTTTGGGTTTTTTGGGAGGCTGAGGGAAAGAATTTAGGGTTGGTGATTATTTTGGGGAGATTTTGAGTTTATATTTGTGTTATCCTTGGATTTAATATTAGAAGGTGTTAGGGTTTGTAGAAGTCAAAAGGAAAGGAAGAGGAAGAAGAAAGGGAAAAAGAAAAAACAAAGGAAGAACAAAAGAAAAAGGGAAAAGGACAATTTTTAAGGTTTTTTCTTATCATATCATTGTGTTTGCCATGCTGTACATCCTATGTGTCAAAATACTTTTACACGTCATCTTTTCCCGTCAAGTAACGAGACACGTAGGTGGATATTTAACGAAAGGACCAAGTTAGAGCCAAAAAGGTAAACAATAGGGACCAAATCATGAATTTTTTAAGTTGAGGGACTAAATCAAGGGTCATACAATAATTAAGGAACCAAAATGGGGATTTTAACTTCTTTTTTTTTATTTCCCTAACTCCAACAATCCAACTTCGAAAGCTTTGTTCTATTTTTGTAAAAGAACATGAGATGGGTGTTGTACATACTCTAAATATGTGAGAAGAGGAAGGGATAAAATAGTTTAGAATATAACAATAATTTCACTAATGACTCTTGACCTATTTTTGGACAATAATTTGCTTTTAATCATTTTTTGAACTTAAAACTTAAAAACATCAAAGTCTCTACCTTAACTTAAAGAATACCATGCATTTTGAGTGATGTCATATGAAATGAGCAATGATAATTATCTTAATTTAAAAAATAAGAAATAATACATAGTTATTTATCAGACAAATATAATTAAAGGGAGTTGAAGTAGCCTAAAATAGGCAAAAATCCTTGGCTAGCCCTCCACCTTACTAACTATGAGAGTATAAGTTCCTCAACTTACAATATGAAAGTTTTAGCCCCTCACCTTACTGATTATAAGAGTATCAACCCCTCAACTTACAATATAAAAGTTTAAACCCCTTATCTTTTCAGTTTAAATGAAAAAACCCAAAATGAATGGTAATATAATGTACTTGTTAAAATTCCATCACCCATTACCATGTCAGTGCCAACATGACAATTTCTTGCCATCATGAATTGCCATCATGGATAATAAAGTTAAATTTGGCAAAAAGGTCAAATTTGGTGAGTTTAAATTGGTTCATCTCAAATTTTAAGTTTGGTTATTTCAAATTTTAGGTTAAAAGAGTAGATTCATGACTCAGCTACACAAATCTCGAATTGGATCAAGTGAATTTAACTTTTTTAAAAATTTGAAATTAAAATTAAAAATTTAATTATTAGTCATTCTTAATACCAATGTAATTAGTATCTTCAAAGATAAAAGTAATATATTCATACGAACACTAAGAGAAGTGGGTGGCCATGACTGAAACTATGCTGTAGTTATTACCCGTTTTTGTTTAATTTTTAATTTAAGAGTTTAAATTAATTGTTCACATTTTTCAAAAATGTTAATCAATACATTTTTTATTATTTTTAAAAATTATTACAATATTTATTTTAATATAAAACACTTATTTAAATTGTGGTTAATTAAAAATATATAATTTAATTAATTAACTATTATTTTTTTCTTTTAATTTAAAAAAATTTAAATCAATCAAAGTTGTACGAAAGATTAGTATATTTTATCTCTTACTATTAATTAAAATTAATAAAAATATATAAAATATTAATTAAAATTATTAAAAAAATATACATAATATAAAATAAAATTATTTATTTATTTTTTATTAAAAAATAATATAAAAATACTCCCTTTATTATTACTATTATTATCATTTTCATTATTGTGGTTTGTGGGCGAAGACTGGGGACAAAGTGTGTTTCTCCAAGAGAAAACTTTCTATATTTTTCTTCTCCTTTCTTGGAAAATAGTTTCCCTTTTAATTTTTATTAGGGAATGGAATTTTTTGAAAATATGTTTTGCAAATGAAAATGATTTTTATTTTAAGATAAAATATTTATATATAATATTTTGATAAAAACCTACTTTTAACAATTTATCTTAATAAGTTTATAGATTTTACCATCTCACTTTATATTATGATATTTTTAACTCTTATT